CCCTCTCGCCAGATCCGCCTCTGAAGTCTTTTCGTCAAGAATCCACGCATGGTCGACTCTAGCGTGGCGCGCAGAGGTAGTATAATGAAGAACGTTCGAACGGCGGAGGGCGAAAATACAAAAAAGTGGACGAATTAGCGCGAATAGCAGTGAAGTCATAGGCGGTTCTATAGCAAAATTTTATATGAAAAATTCTTCGAGAAATACTTACAAGAAGTAAGTTAACTTGAGGATTCTACAAAAGCAAAAATTGTTAATTTTATATGAAAACTATAACTGCATAATTGAAAAGGAACGTTTCGGTCCACGAACAGTACAAAATAATAGACTAGAAAGATTGTACTCAGGCGTTATGTGTAAGGTGATATTTTACAGTGCAAACTGTTTATCATCCTTTAGATGTAGTAAAGTGATATTTTACGACCCAGTCTCTGCGTGTTTCATCGCTCAGCTGTAAACACAGACCGGACTGTGCATGCCGGTAAGGGTGGGATTCGTCAGTACGGCCTCCTGCCCGCCATGTATTGAAGGGACATGTAACTAATTTGCAAGACGGATATGTGAAAGAAAAAGAGATTCCTTAACCCTAAAACTCTTTTCCGGGGTTAAAAAATTTGTGAAACCAAAAAATGCGGAGATTCAGACATTTTATAATGTCTCCATCCGATAGGCTAATACTGTGAGGAAAATTCAATTTTCCTCCTGTGAAGTGCCTCTCCTCTTAATTCGCCCTCTTCCTCCTCTTATTCTTCCTGAAAGTGGGGCTTAAAAAAGCGACAACCGAAACCAAAAGCCGTCGCTTTGGATAACCTTCCTCAATCCCTTATATAATTTACCGGTTTCACCTTTACTTTATTATATTTATTTTACAGGTCCTATATCGCTTCAATACCCATAATGGTGGAGGTTTGTTTTCCTAAATGCACTTACCTTTTGTTCTAACCCTTTTACATTTTCAAAATTTCCCTTTTTCTTTTGACACTTTGCAATTGTTATTTTTGCTGCAACCGTCACACTGACGAGGTCCAGTTGCAGCACTGAACAGGAATGTATGCGACTTAATGGACCGAAACATTCCTATTCAGGTTTTTTAATCCGATTTATCTTATTCTCCTTCCTTTTATTCCTCTCTTTTTAACCCTTACTTTTTACATAAATACACATCATCTAAAATTACAATACGCAATGATCAGCACCCAATGCCCAAGCATAGAATGGATAAGCACCCAATTCCCCCGACTGACATCCGTCTCGTTTGAACTGGCCATTCCAGGACACTTTATTTTCAGGACACAGCAACTATAGAACATCATCGCCACATATTTCATCAAATATCTAAAAATCGATAAAATTTTTTACAAATAATAACTAATATTACAGGAGAAAAACTAACAACAATATCGGATAATGATGAGTCGCTCATCATTCAGCACGTTCTTCTCGTTGTAAGGGCCTTTTTTTCCGATCACAGTAACAATCAGCAACAAGTGCTACTCCTAAAAATCAAAAAAAAAAAACCATAAAATTTTATAATTTTTAAAATTTCTACACTTCGTTTGTATACAGATCCAGGCAAACATGTTCCGGTTCAAAATTTTCGTTGTACAGGCCAAGATAAGGGTAACCTGAATGAATTTCGTTACAAAGGCGCAAGTAAAAGTGCCCAGACGACGAGGGTCTTCGTTGTTCAGGAGCAGGTAGAAGTCGCAGCACCGGAATCTCACGGCACCCACTCCCATCCCCTCCTCCCCCGCGGACCACTGACACCCCGGAAACACCGGTACCACTCGCCCAACCCATAAAACATCCATATCGCGGAAGCACCAGAGCACTGGTCCCCGACCTACTGCAGCAGCAACATTTTGAATGCTCAAATTACCCGCCAATGGACCGATCCGTCCGGGATCCGTTGCCGCACCTACAGCCTGTGCAGGTAAAGGGGTTGAAAGTGGACAAAGAGAAGGAGGGGGGGAGGAGGGTGTGGTACCCACAGACGGGTCCCCCCTTCCCATAGCGGCACAGGCGCCAGTGTTGCAAAAGTCCGGATCTAAAGTTAAAACTAAAGTAAACTAAAGCCCAAAGTAACTCTAAATAGCAGTGCTAGTTTTTACACAGTACCATGATGGTAGGGGACTCTTCTCCCTGCTTCCTGTCCCACCCCTCCCCACGAGACCCACTCTTTCCCTAACCCCGTCCTCCCCCCCTCCCCTCCCCCGACCCTTAAGAGTCCGTCTTGGACCCTCCTATGCTGCTGCTGCGGAACAGAGGGAGGAAGTGCAAGTCAGAAGAGGAGACGGTACCCTCAAGCGGATGAAAAATGCAGAGCCAGGGAACAAATCCATGGAATTTTTGGGCAACAGAAAAGTGCATCTCGGAACAGCGGAGAGGCTCGGAGAAGGGCGATCAGTCTGTTGTAATCTTAAGATCAATGATAAGAATAATTATAATTGTAATAATAATAATAATAATTATAATTATAATTGTAATAATAACAATAACAATAATAATATCAGTAATAATAATGATAATAGCAATAATAATAACAATAATAATAACAATAATAGTAATGATAATAATGACAATGATAATAACAACAATAATAAAACCACTCTGACCTTACAGGTGGTTACTTCAGTCTTATCTCTTACCGCACTTTTAATGTTTTCAATTTTGTCCTCCATTTTTTCCTCGTATTTTAGTTTTATATTGCCTTTATATTTTGCCCTTCCCCTCTCCTCTGTTTCCTTTAAACAATTATAATATCGCACTTGTCATGCCAAAGAAGTCCAAACGGAATGTCTGTGATTTAGATGGATCGAAACATTCCTTATCGATCAACAATATTATTATACGTTTTTTGCAAAATATGCAAGTGCAAAAACGCATATAGCGACGACCCCGATTTGCGTGTGTGTGTTTCTCTGTCCGGATATTTCAACTCGGCAACCAAGCAAGCTCCAGCGCCAAAGTTTTGCGAATGGGTCCCCCGTCACGTCATAATTATTTGCAGTTACTAAAACTCGGCTCGACCGGCGTCGTACACGACTTGCGAAAAATTTTTTATGACAGTGACCGGTAGAGCTACCCACGGCGAGTAGCGGGAATTCGAATGTGGCAGGTTGGGGAGGGTGATTTGCTGTGGGTTACATTCTAGGCAGGGGAGGGCTTGTACGCCATAGTGTTTCTAGACAGGGTTTTTTCTCAAGTAATTGTCAAATTTTGTCATATAGGGACTAGTTGTGACCAAAAAGAATACTAAAAACCGAAGGTTCAGTTGCGTTATTTGCTTCGCTGATAATGGATGTATAAGTTGTACTATTGATACTGATGAGAATGAACAGTAGAATAAAAGGATTGGACTTAAGTATCATGTATAAGAAGACATTTTACGGTGCAGTCTTTGTGTTTCATCCCTTAGCTGTAAACACAGACCGAATTATGAGTGACTGTTCGGGTAGTCTCCAGAGATTGAAGGCTTAACTACTGGGTCGGGGAAATGGCTAACTCAGAAGCCAGGAAAGCTAGAAAGCTGAAATTTTCAGGAAATGTTCTCAGCACATGTACAGCTAAATATAATTTAGCTACTTTATTGACCAAAATGGAAGGGCCAGGCCTGGCTGCTTCAAGATGTAAATGCATCTTAGCAGTGCTCCAGGCTCAGCAGCATCAATAGTCCATAATAATTGAGATGATCAAAAATCCTCGTCGAAATGACACCATAACAATCAAAATACATTTTCTTGTTTCAGCAGCAGCAGTTATTTGACAGTGGTCGCAATTCGACTGTTGCTTCACCGGCACCGTTCATGCTGAACTGGCGGCACCACACTGTCGCATAATATATGAAATAGTGATTTATGGTTTTTTGTTAGAAATAGTGTAAAGAACAATTGCGCCACTATGATGCAATAGCGTGGTCCCAGGTTCAAACTTTGGATACCCCACCCTCGTTAAAGTTTTGCTGTCTTATTAACATCTGACTCCTCAAAACAGGAACGAGAGTAGATTCAAATGTGGGTTGAACTAGCTGTGGCATTCCGGGGATGGGGAGGAGCGCTTTTATACCCTAAACAGTGTCGAACGTACTTATTTAGGTACAATGTACGTAGTTATGTAAGTTCCATCTATTCCATTTAGTGTTACGACATGATGATTTCTTTACACATACATATATACACACAATTCGAGAAATTTCAACAACAAATGAACAAAAACCTACGTGATCCTTGATGGCTAGTTTCATCGATCACAAAGCTGGCCCTAAAGGGCCCAATAATGATTGCAGCACATAGTAAATAAAAGAAAATTTAGTATCTATAGTCCATACAACAGAACTAAAATGAGACATACACACATAAATAATCATGAATAAAATCATGAATAAAATCATCATGAGTAAAATCATAAAACCCGTAATCGTCTAATTATACGTCGAAACACACGAAAATGAGAGACGATCCGACGAACTGCTCCACGACAGTACAGTACAATGAAGATGAACAAAACACAACAGCACCACAGCAACAGATTATGGATTCGAGTACGAATATCCACCCTATGCTCCCCACCGCCAACACCACCAGCAGTAGCAGCATTCACATTTGCATCATCAAAGAATTGAACGATTTCATGGAGCTGCAAAAAAACAAATCAAATTACATAACTATTACACTTCAATATAGAAATTATCACTACTACCCGTTTATACTGGTATCTATATCGTAAGAAGCTGTACTGACGATTCCCACTCCTAGCCGCATGCATAGTCTGATATGTGTTTGCAACTAAGGGATGAAACACAGACAGACTGCATCATAAAATATCACCTTACTACATCTAAAACGATAAAAGACAGTTTGCACCGTAAAATATCACCTTACATATGACGCCTGAGTACAATCCTGGTCTATTATTTCTTTATATATGTTTATATCTTCGAATAAATTCTTTATATATTTTTATATTTTCTAATAAAAATCACTGCAGTACTTTTTGAATCAAAAAGTGCCCAATCAATTTTCTTGACTCTTCTTGTGAACAGAGCAGATTTGGCGATGAAAAATACTTACTAAATTTCGAAAATGCGTCCTGAAAAGATCACCTGAACCGAAGTTAGCTCGCTGGGTAATTTCTGATCCACTATATCCGAATGATCTTCCTGGCGTCTA